CTGAAGGTTTTAGGTGCTCATATCTTTTTCAAAAACTAAGGAAATAAATGTAGGCAGAAGACTCCTGTCTCTGCTCTATGCAATACTTTAGCGATTAAAGAACTCCTCCAAGATGATCAAGACACAGCACCAATTAATTTCTCTCCTTCAGGGAATCTCCTGTCTCCTAAGAGCCTGTCTGTGGACTATTCCAGGGGAACAGAAAAGAAGGGGAATGCTCCCTCCCCTTCTTCTTTTGAGCCTTTTACAGTTTTTGTAGACTGAAGGCTTCATTTGCCTTCAGACAGATTAAGCAGGAGCCTCTATTCTGATTAGAGGTCTATCACTGGGAGCAGGGCACCCTGGGCTTAAGTCCCTGCTCCACTGACTGTTTCTGGATTTATGGATATAAAACACATAAATGGTCCATAATACAGAGACACAAAGCCATCTTTTGTCCTTCCCAACTGAGAGCCACAACCACGAGGTTACAGACTAATTCCCTCTCTCAGATCTAATGCATTTTTAATTCTTTCAGACTACAAAGTGGAGCAGCTTCAAGAGAAGGGACAGACTGTTTTCTTCCCTTCCATGTCCCCCTGGACTGTGGGCCATTTACCTGGTGAGCAGAAGAGAGTTGAAGTCTTTGTTACACAGAGGAAAGCAAACCAGGTCCTTCACCTCGAGAGTGTTTTAACCACTGAGATTTCTATACTAAAATGAAGAACAACCAAGCCTTTGAGCAGAAAGCATCAGTTAAAACTGAACTTTTGTGTGGAGGTTGACTTAGCAAACGTGCTCCAAAACCTGAGGGGCTCGGGCAAAAGAAGACCGAGTCAGTCAGATGAAGCCTGAGATGCCTTCGGGCAAATACATCTTCTGGGAAATTTAAGCATAAAAACTGCAGCATCCATGGAGGTTAGTCACCTCCAAGGTCAGCCATAACTAAGCGAGCAGTGTGAGAAAGGCTGGCTCCAGTTTTAGTACCTAAATTCCACATCAATCCCACCTTCAGCACTAGAATCCCATCACGGGGCTTCAGCGACTGGGTGGGCTCTCAGCACTTCGGGACCTCATGGAAGCGCCAAGTGACACATTTGGTAAAAATACTTCTAAAGGCGGTTGGGTTCTTATTTGGACGCCGGGCCAGGGCCCTCGCAGGGGCGGCAGCTGCTCCCCCCACTCCGCCCCCCGCCAGGCTCG